ACCTACGTACAGATGTAATTTCCGGGCTCCCTTTGGCCGGGGAGCTTGCGCTTGTCGGAAGAAACACGATCTGTATTCGCGCGATCGCGTTTCGCGCAGTGCGTTGGCACTTAGCTCGCGGGAGGCGAGTCGGGTCGGCTCGCGCAGTAGTTAGGAGCTCGCCAGCTCGATCGCTAGTTAGTCACATGGTATTTGTACATATTGCCTGTCCGTTCGGTCTTTAAAATTTGGTCGATTCGGTCATGATCGATCATGACCGAATGGACCAATTTTTGGTCTCCCCTCCGTATGACCTAGCTGCTCGCGTATGGGACACAACGGTGCATCAAACGACCTTGGGACCACCACAGGGTCATAAGAATTTGCTCAGACCGCTCGGGACTCTGCAGATAGCGCGCTCATATTGCAAGTGGAGGTTCTGATTAACTTCTAATGCCATGGAATACCAACGACCGCTAACAACACTCACCACGACTTGCAATTATCGGAGCATGAAGTCTACCCGTTAATCATAAACGATGAAGTTACCTGAACTGGGCCATTTAAATGCAAGGAGATTGAGCTTTGGTTCTATCGGATTGTCTCTCAGCTCCGGGATCATGCTAAGACTCGAGGATATCACGAAGACGTATGTGCCATTTTGGTTCTTGGAGATCACCATGTTCTGAATACTACGCCCCCTGAAGAACACTTCCGTATCAACCAACGCCCCAGATGGCACCTCTAATGGGCTCCTGAACAGGACAATCAGTGCCCTCTGCCGCTTCTAGGTCAGCCTCCATTCTGCACACATCCTCTTGTACTTCGCTGAAACCAATTTCTTCCGTCAAATGACTTTGCAGAGTCATACGAGACGTGCTCGAAGAGAAATGGGCGCGATGGAACAAGAGTCTGAAAGGGTTTCGATTCGCACCGTACGCGCGGTTTGCATGGCTCAAGCGATATCGATTACCACCCATCTGGAGTGATGTCTCCCCTGATTGATTTGATTTGATGATTCATATTAATGTCCAAGAGGGCTTAGCCCTATGGCGGACAGTCCTACGCGAGAATACAGCACAGTAGTGCACAGGGACGAGCCCTAAACCACTAATAAAAAAACCCACATCATGCTAACACGTGGTCTCCCCTGATTATGGCATTCTTGTGTGGTTTCGAATTCTTGCAACAAACATAGTATTAGTAGAGTAGCGCCGCGCGGTGCGCAGCATGGCCCGCTACCGTGTAATGGCAGTCTTCATTGCAAAGAAGTGAGATGCAGCTACATCATTTACAGTGTTGGGCGTGCAGGGCCCTTGAGTGTAACATTACTAACATGCCAAACTAGTATGTGCAACTTAGATGGGTCAAGATCCTGATAGTGACAGTTGACTGTTATGTTAGTAAAGACCTAAGCACTCGGCTTGGGGGCATTCATTATTCTAGAAGCCAATTTCAAGTGGCATAATGACCAGTCAACATGTAAGTGGTTCGTGGATAAAGAAAGGATCACAATTAGATTGCGCATATCAATTGAAGTCACCCAAAATGTGGTATACTGGTGTCCGGGTTGGAGTGATGGGGCAATCGGATATGTCGCCGTAGACTTTGTACCAGGCCCTGCACGGCTTTCCAGCGCCTGGTATATCAGCTGGTGTCAGCATGGAGACCCGTAAATGGGTCATGATCGAGGTCAGGGAGGAGAGATAAAGTATATACGTGTCTGGCCCTCGCGTCGAGTCGAATTCAATCATTGTTAGCAATACATACGATGTGAAGATAAGATGAGTGCAAATAATTCATTAATGCGTCGACGGATATCTGAGGTTCAAAAGTAAATTGAAATGGTAATAAGTGTGCACGGTATTTCAAGCGGAGCACCAAATATCACGTGATTGGCGCAAATGCCAGTTTTTGGCGGGCGACTCGGTAACACGAAGTTAATCTAAGACCCACTACCTCCGGTAGCGGGAATTGACACAGACTCCTAACCGGTCGGTCCGATGTCACATGACCCGGCTGCCGAGGAGTTGCCTTTTTTGTACGAAGTACAAGGTCTGACATCTGACCGACTGGCAACAAATCCGGTTTGGCTTTATTTGTCCCGCCGTGTCCTGCCGACCAAACATCGTCGACGTCGTCTTAGACGTAATCGGCACAGGGCCGAGTCGGGGGCGTCGGGAGCGGCTCTCGCTTACACTTGCTTAGGGGTAAAGGGGCTTGTATTAATAAGGAGTGAGCTACAAGTCTAATGCTAGGGAAATGGGCGCGCAAACGCAGTGCGCGTGTCTACCACGCGTCGCTTGATGCCCTCATACCTGGTCTTAACATGCAGTAGACACATTACAGGCTACGTATTAGTTAGCATGCTGCAGTGGATATATGGACTGAAAGGACGGGCACTTACCTGTGAGAGCTGTGGATGTTCCTGACCACCTCAGCACAGAGGTTAAAAACCCTCAAAGCTATCAACCTGACTGCCAGCCAGCTCGTTGAAAAACTTGCTCGTACCGAAGAAGCGGAGCTCCAAGAAGCTCGTGCAAACCTGTTCGCAAACGCGCGGAGCATGTGTCGTGTCGCGGTAGCCTGACGCATCAAGCCTATACACTTATTTATTTGACTAATAATTACTACTATAATGCAATCAACAGGGCTATTTTATTCTAAGCGAGCGTAAATGACCGACGCCCCCGACTCGGCCCTGTGCCAATTATGTCTAAGACGACGTCGACGATGTTTGGTCGGCAGGACACGGCGGGACAAACAAAGCCAAACCGGATTTGTTGCCAGTCGGTCAGATGTCAGACCTTGTACTTCGTACAAAAAAGGCAACTCCTCAGCAGCCGGGTCATGTGACATCGGACCGACCGGTTAGGAGTCTGGAATTGACATGGCATTCAAAGCGGAACGTAGCGGAAGGCGCGAGCCCGGCAGATTGCCTGGCTGAGACACCATCACTGTAGACCATACACGGTGCACGTGTATCATCGTCTGACTCGGACCGTGCAAGTTCAGAGTACAGCCGCCATTCAATTCGGGACGTGCTCTGCTCTTACAATTGGTCTTCCCTTCATTTTCGCCGGAAGAAAGAATCCTGCTCCACTCACGGGCAGACAAAGATTGTCAGGGATGCGCTCAAGCTAATCAGGGCTATCCAACGGCTAATTGGAAAATCGACCAGCTGTGCTGTCATCGCGCATAGAGACGAAGTTGTGTCCCTGAGGTAGAAAACGCGGATGCTCGGTGATTGGACCGGGGTGGATGCGTATTATCGGGGACGCTCGGAGGATCTGTACCTGGCCTAAAGCACGCAGCGCAGCTTCCTGCCGCGATTGGTTCGGCAGCGAGGCTCCGATCATGTCTACTCAGGGTCCGTCCAAGGTCTGTTGATTTGTTTGCGACGACCCTTTTCCAGCCGTTCTTGTCTGTGATATTGCTTTTGTTCGAACTTTTGTTTTTCCTGTTTTGTGCATTTTTGATTAATTTGCCGTCAAGCGCTTGGATTGTCAGGACTGTCGTCGTCTCCCCTTTGTTTATGGCCCTGTTCACTCCACTGTCGCTCCATTGGCCTACCCACGTCTTTTGCCATATAAATAGCCTTCTCTCTCGTCGTATTTCTACATCGATTCCACCGCCGCTTCTCATCAGGACCAGTCATCAATCCCCTCTACAGCGTTCCCGGGCACTCTGCTTCGCTCATATACGTTACACATTTATAAACTCGCAACAAACCTACACACGCCCACTTGTCCATGTCTCCCTTCTGCACAGGAAGATCTCGACCCTCGGGCGACAATGCCTCCGTAACAAGTACCGACACAAGCTCCTCAAATTCGTCTGCACGGAACAATGAACCCTCAACCGTCAATCAACCCACTCAAGCGGAACCTATGCGTGTACTTCCCCAACCAGCTCAGGTACCAGCCAACAGCACAGAGAGCTTGGACGGCGAAGGAACTATGTGCGAGTACATCACGTATTGCTTGTGCATACCCATCTGTTCCAAATCCAAAGATCAGCAATAGGGCCGGGCGGCTCATGGTTTAATATGCTCACTTCTGGTTAAAAGGAATACTGAAGTGGTGCATGGAATAAACTAGTAGTTAATACGAGTGGGACGCAGAGTTGAATAAGTGTCCTAATGGCGAGGACGGCTGCTGGTACAAGACACACTGTTTGACTTTTATCTCAATAAATCTCGTTGAATCTGCTGTATAACAACTATGACTGTGGTGTGTTTTCACCACTGGATACGGTGGATTTGATTCATGGGCTGACCGGTGGGAACGAACGCGTGATAATTTCCTGTCTGTCTTGAGGGAGAACGCCTGAACAATAGTGACTTCCCCCCCGCGAGTTGAGCATCAGAAATTGCTCATAACGAGGAACTCAATTGAATCGGCTCCACGTCTGAGGCAACTTGCAGGAAACCAACGTCGTAAGAACGTGGCTGTGCTGACCGTGGGATAGCCAGATCGCGTCCTTTCTCCAACTCGGTCTTGCTCAGTCTCTGTCATTCCTCCACCAAACTCGCGATACAGCAGGGGACACGACCAGCTCGTTGTTCATAACATAACTTCTGTTCCTCATTGCGGGCTCAGATGATGGCATTGTCCATGCCGGCGCTCTACCATCGATTGGAGTCTTTACGGCTCCCCGTGCTGCCTCTCTCCCCGGCGACGCGCGGCAAGAGCGGCGAGATCGGCTATTGCGCAAGAACCGTAATACATTCGCTTCCTTCGCCTAGACAATCCACCCAGTATCTCCTGCGGGCCCGGCGCACCATTTGAAGTCACTGATGCACCCATTCCATGTGCTCCTGCGCTCTTGCGTCGAACGCTACGGTGATCGCGTGCCGACCCACGGTGCCATTCGCCCTGCCCAGACCGAACTCAAGCAGTTCATGACTCTTAAATTGCACCACGATCCCGGTTTTTTCTCTCCCTCCAGCGCGACCACGAAACCCCACCTTCTTCTAGTCCGGAATGGACTCCAAAACCGCTTCAGTCTCGTCGGAGCGGATGGACAATGCGCACTCGCTCGAGAAAGGGGACGACTTCGACCCGAAGGAGCAGGGGACCGTGACCAAGCAGCTGCAGTTGAGCCGTGAGCTGAAGAATCGACATGTTGCCATGATCAGGTACGTTCTTATAAGCAGGTTACTACACTATGAGGGTGTTAACGTCTGATGCTGGCTATGTATAGTATTGGAGGCGTCCTTGGAACTGGTCTGTTCCTTGGTAGCGCAACGGCCTTGCGGGATGCTGGCCCGGTCGGCGCCCTTCTTGGTTACATTTTCACTGGTACCATTGTCTACTGCGTCATGGTAAGTTCCCCTTTCACCATGTTGCTTCATCGCTAAACCTTGGAATGTATGCAGATCTCGGTAGGAGAGATGATAACGCTTCTTCCCATTGCTGGTGGGCCTGTCAACCTCGCAGAACGCTTTGTGGACCCTGCACTGGGCTTTGCGTATGGGTGGTGCTGGATGTATACTTGGACGGTACGCTGCTTCATCTTCGCGCCATGGAAATCAAACCACGAGGTGCTCATTTCTGGCTAATCGCATTTGTACATCAAGCTCGCGCTGCCCGGTAAGGGCGTCCATCGTTCCTTGATTTGGGTTTTGAGAGGCTGATCGTTCATATCCGTTTCAGCCGAATTGTCTGCGGCTGCAACGCTGATTGACTTCTGGCATCCTGGCGTGAACAATGCCGTATGGATCACCGTGTGCCTCGCCGTGGCAATCGCAATTAACATGAGCGGCGTCGGCGTGTACGGCGAGAGCGAGTTCATCTTCTCGTCAGTGTACCTCCTATTCTTGTCTGGTCACAGTCTTCTTATCCCTTGATCCCAAACATATTGCAACTTCAGGTCCATCAAGGTCATCACCATCGTCGTCCTCATTATCCTCGGCATTGTACTCGACCTCGGTGGTGGACCGACGCACGACCGCATAGGTTTCCGGTACTGGAAGAACCCTGGGCCGTTCGTGCAGTACAACGGCATCCAGGGCAACACGGGACGCTTCATCGGCTGGTCACGCGTCTGCATTCAGGCCGCGTACTCATACGCTGGCACTGAATCGGTCTCGGTAAACATTGTTCCTCCTCCCGTTGCTAAAAAAGTAAGGTCTGACAAAAGACTATGTGCATTGGCACCGCAGATGGCTGCAGCGGAAACAAAGAACCCACGTCGTAACTTGCCCAAGGCGATTCAACGGGTGTACTTCCGTATCTTGGTTTTCTACATCGGCGGCGTCACCATCATGGGCTTGCTCGTCCCATTTGATAACCCGGGTCTGAACTTGAGCGCCTCTAACGCGTCCGCCTCTCCTTTCGTCATTGCTATCAACAATGCAGGTATTAAAGGACTGACATCTGTGAGTGCCCTATAATGAGCTCACCATCGGTGCCTACCACTCATGCAAATGTATTCTTATGTAGGTCATCAACGCCGCTCTCCTCACAGCTGCCTGGTCAGCCGCATCTAGCGATCTCTACCTCTCCTCTCGTGGTCTCTGTATGTCTTGATATTTCCCATTTCTCACTTTCAACAAGCCAACAAACAACCGCGCAGATGGCATGGCCACCGCCGGCAACGCGCCCAAGGTTTTCGCGCGTACCATCCGCGGCGGCTTCCCGTACGTCGCGGTGTCGTTCTGCGCGTGCTTCGCGCTCCTCGCGTATATGAGCGTCAGCTCCGCGTCCGGCGAAGTCTTCACCTGGCTCTCCTCGTTCACGGGCACTGCCAACACGTGGAGCTGGTGCGCGATCGGCATCACGTATCTGAGGTTCAGGAAGGGGTTCCGGGCACAGGGTATCGACGAGAGCAAGCTTGTGTATCGCAGCAAGCTGCAGCCGTATGCAGGGTGGTGGGTTGTTATTGGGACGGGACTGTGTTTGTTTGTGCGTTTTGTGTTTTTCTCCTCTCAGCGTCTTCGATTCTGACATGGGACGGTGAATATAGTTCAGCGGTTACCAGGTCTTCCTCCGTGATAGCTGGGATACGCCCACGTTTATCACCACTTACTTGCCTGTCGTTGCGCTCCCCATCCTGTGGATTGGGTGTAAACTCATTCGGAAAACCAAGTTCATCCACGCGATGGACATGGACTTTGTCAGCGGCTTGGCCGAGATTGACGCTCTCGAGTGGGTGTCTCATTTCTATGTATGTAGATCACGAATGCTAATAGGACATTCTCCGATAGCGTTGAAGAACCACCTCCGAAGAACTGGGTCGAGAGGTTGTGGGCGTGGCTCGTGAGTATACCCTTCATCTGGGCTTGACCTGCTTTTCTGACGGCGATGACATAGATGTAAAGACACCTTGCTGGTGGATATGAACTGGCAAATACGACAAAGTGCCACTGGATAATAACTTATGGCTCCTGCGAGTCCACCAAAATTACTACATACCTCTTACTGTGCTGAGCAGTTATAGCTCTGTTATTGCTTTGTCCTTGATTCGATGAATACACACATCTTACGGATGCTGGAGAGCATGTGACAAGAATCCAGTGTGATAGTAAAAGTTGAGGAGTATAACGTTTATAAAGTGGAAAGACACCGTCTTGGTACACCTGACAAACTGCAAACTGAACGCGAAGACCAAACGGGGGCCAATGGACACGAAAAGCTAACAAAGTAAGATGATGCTCATGGACATCTTATTCGTAGACCGGGACTATCGTACAACATGGAGATAGGCTTAGTAGAACGATTGTTTCCTGAAATTTGCTCATGTACCCCTCCTCTTCTTATCCTCCTCAAACGCATCCTTCACCTTAAACGACGAAACGTGTTAGATACACTACTGAGCACCGATGCCAAAAGTCGACTTTACCTTCTGGGCAAACTCCTCGTCGACTAGCACCCGCGTTCCGACGGCAGCAAGCGCCTTGGACACGACCATTGTTGCATCATGTGTGACCTTTGTTTTTGCTGCGTCTGTGAATCCCAGCGTGTGGTTGCCGCCGTCGGGTATGGTAGGAATTGCTGTGGGGGATTCGATGAGTCAAGAACATGAGAGGGGGGAGACGAGCGTCGCAAGGAGCTTACAATATCCAGGGTGCAACGAAGGTAAATCTGTCATTTGTTCTTATTCACCTCTGCAGGCAGACAGTGGACGACAGGGTGAGCTGCTACTGACCGTACGAAACAAATCCCTGTAGAATACCACTGTTAGCTCAAATAAGTAACTATTCAGGAGAGAAACTCACAAAATCGGTGGAAGCGCTACTTATCCCCCACTCGTAGTCAATGTCACCGTACCGCTTACGGACGACATCACGCAGCTCTTCGCCGAGTGCAGAATTCTGTCGAAGCTCGTATACTTCTTGGGGGTCGCCGATTGTCACTTTGCAGCCTGTTGCAGTAGCTGCGGCTCTATAACAAAATCAGCATGGACGGGTTTGATGTTCGCAAGCTGGACCTTACTCGAAGCAGGCGCGTACACGAATCCCGGACTCTCTTGCCTCAGCTATGGTTGGAGCACGAATAACCCAGCTGTCGACACAGATAGTTATAAGCATGGAGAGGGCATTCACGTTTCAGGGAACGTACGTTAGTGCCGCGTTGTCGGGGATGACTGCACCAATGTCAGGTAGGACGCTAGGCTGTGTTTTGTGAAGTGACGCACTGTTCCCAGTCCATTTCCCCCCAAACACGCCATGGATACGATGCGTAGGTTTGGTTTGCTGACGAAGAACGGCGATGGCGTTGTAAGCGAGCACCGCTGCGTCGAGAGCGTTTTGCCTTCCCAGGGGCTCAACGCTGCGTGCGCGCTACGCGATGCACACAGGGTCGAATTAGCGTGAGCACCCATCGTTTGAGAAGGACGTACGGATGACCCTTATAGGTGACCTCATACACTACAGCCGCGAGCGAGCCACTCAAGCTGACAGAGTGGATGGGCCCGGGAGCGGGGTGCACCATTACACAGGCATCCATGCCCTCGTATAGGCCCTTCTCAAGCATCCTGAGCTTTCCCAACCCCCCTTCCTCAGCTGTACCACGAAAAAGGATGACGTCAGGTACCGGTTAGAACGCGAATGTGAAGAGTGCACACACCAGGAGTCCCAAGCAACACCACCTTTCCAGGGATGCTCATCTGCTCCATGGCCGCGCGCACAGCGCACGCAATTGCAACGCCGGCGACGCCGATGAGGTTGTGGCCACATGCATGGCCGATGTCGGGCAGCGCGTCCATCTCGGAGTTAACTCCAAGCGTGCGCCCACCGTTTCCGCACTCAAAGGAGGCAATCCAGGCGGTGGGAAGACCGTCGACGTCGCGGACGTCCCATCCCTGGTTTCTCATAAAGCATGTATAGGCCTTGTGGGCTTCGCTGTGATGGGATGAAGTGAGATTGAGACACGAGAGCTAACAGTAGGATGGGGGGACGTACACCTCCTCGTACATAAGCTCGGGGCACTCTATATGGCAGAGCAAATCAAAGATAATGTCTTGAGCACTTTCAGGGGGGAATACGTACCGTGTATCTTGATACTAAGCTCTCGTAGATCTTGGCTCATGTCGTCGATTTTGGCTTCGATGACCTTGAGGATGTCGGGTCGATAGGGGTCGCCCGGTTCAAGCGGAGGCCTGACAGTGTGGTCATCTTCCGGTCGCCAAACACCTCCTGACATGTCGGGTGCGAGTACGTGTGCGAGCTTGAATAAACTGTGCAAGCTACACTGATCCAGACGCTGGGAGCAGTGAAGGAAACGGTTCTGGGGTGCGAGGATACGTAGCCCAAATATAAGTACATGTTGAAAGAGCGACAGAGAATTCGGATCGATAAAGGATGAATGCACCTTTACTCGGCACTCTTTGCTTCCCAGACACCATGAATTGTAGGTAGACGCCTCTATTAAAGAGCTTAGCTAGCGACTAGCTAAAAGGTGTCGAGGAAAGGGAAGGTCATGCAGCATTAACCCCTGACTGTCACAACCGATCTAGAAAGACGCCCACCCCAGACTTTTCTTGGGCTCTTCCCTGCACGATGTCAAGCTTTGCGAGCTAGTCCGTTTGGCTGAACTTCAAATAAATACGCCATCGTGACCTTTCATATCTCCTAGTTTCGAAAAACTCACATTCTCGGCTTCCATGCCTTGCCCATCCGTGACATGGTCCAGCCTCTGAGCTCGACTGATGGTGGAACACTACTTGGTCGACAGCCACGTTCGCCTGCACGACATAGATTACGGAGAACTGCTACTGTTCTTCGGCGCTTGATCTTGTACCGCTGTTTCACGAGAGCAATGCATTGGCCAAGAACGTTTGCTTCCAGGAGATGTACACCCTTGTGCCAGTGAGTGTCAAACCACAAAAGCCTGACGTTGATGTCCATGAAGCATGTCAACCCGCCCCTAACTGTGACTCTCTTTCGGGGAAATGCATGGATTTATCATGGCAGAAAACGATGATCTGTTGCTCAGCAGACTGGGAACTTGACTGGGAGAAAGGCTGGTAACTTACAAGTTGGTGACCATCCCGCAAACCTGCCGCGCCAAGCAGCGGTAAACTCCGGCCTCGGATAAATCCGGCCCAAAGTAGGCCGCCCGTCGGCCCGGGACCAACGACGGCGAATTCGGCGTCTTTGACATAGTCCTGATGACGTTGACGGGCCTTTGAACCCGCATTTCCGCTCAAGGTGCACCGAATGTTGCACAAGAACAACGGCCAGCTTTCACAGACACCGACCGACCGTGCATTTTCGATCGCTCGCCCAGCATTATCGGGAGGTGGGTTCGGGTCTTTCTCAAATGGTGGGAAGCATGACGCAGGGAGTTCGACAAAGACGTCACGCCTCACGAGCACCACACACATATAAGAAGCCACATATGTGGGCTGGCGTCGTTCAAGTTCACTCAAATACATTCAACCTCATTCCGCCCCTGCCTTCATCTTGTTTTCCATGGCCAACGTAACAGAAACTATCGTATCTTCCCTTTCTCCCTACATCAGGCCCGAAACCATCACCGCCCTCCTTCACACAAAGCCCACAGACGCCGCCCTCGCAGCGCTCAGTGTCTTCATCCTCCTTCGTCTCGCCCGCGCCGCGAAACGCCGCTTCACGGCGACCAAGCTGCGTGGCCCTCCTAGTGAGAACTGGTTCTTCGGTGTGGGTGATGAGGTCCTGCGCGCCCCGGATTCGAGCGCGCTCTACGAGGAGTGGGAGCAGGCGTATGGTTCTGTGTACCAAATCCCATCCACACTGGGCACGCACCGTGTCGTCTTGTGCGATCCGCGAGCGATCTCGCATTTCTATGCGAAGGACACAACAACGTATGTGAGGACGCCGGGAGCTTTGTTCATGATTGAGGAATTGGTGAGTGATCTTTCTCAATCTAGCTGCTGTAGAGGCAATCAATAGCTAATTTGCCCTGTACTACACAGGCCGGACGAAATCTGCTGTGGGCCCAAGGAGACGCACACAAGAGGTATGTAGATGTTTTTGGATACGAAGACGTAATTTCTGAGAGACCGCCCCCGATAGACAAAGGAAGGCTTTGACACCCGCCTTTAGCAACTCAGCGATCCGCAAATTGACATCAGTATTCACTGACTCGGGCTACAAGGTCGCTCCATGTGACTCGCTCTGCACGTAATTTGCTCACAGTGACTTAATACTAGTGTGTGGATGCGTGGAACAGCATCATAGAAAACAGCTCCGAAAACAATGGCGCAGTCATAGAGGTGCAAGGCTGGTGAGTACGGTTCGCGATCTATTCCCCTTACGAAACTGACGCCCAGCCGGCTCGATCACAGGATGAGCAATGTCTCGTACGTATCCTCTTCCTCTCTCCGCAGTGTCTACTGAAACCTGATTCCGATCTTACCGTAGACTAGATACAATCGGCATCGCTGGCTTCGCCCATGACTTCGGGACTCTGCTTGGGAAACACTCGAGCGTCTCGGAGGGGTTCGACCGGATGAACGTCGAATCGCCGCCCCGCAACTACCGATTTCTGTTGTCCCTCGTAATCCCATGGATCGTGAAGTTTCCGAGTAAGCGCCGGGGCATGGTTAAGAAGCTGAACTCGACGATGGGTGAAGGCGCTGTGCCGGTGTTGCAGCGCACGAGGGAAGAGAAGGCTGCGGGAGCGAAAGGAGGAAGTGAGAGGTCGATTATTGAGCTGCTGAGTGAGCAGTTTCCCTTCTTTACCGAGAGGCGGTCATTGACGGTGACATGTACAGTCAAGTCAGAGGATGATAGCGCCGAGCTGCATATGTCCTCGCAAGAGGTCTTGGATCAGGTATGTACTACCTTCGAACTTGAAACAAACTTCTCGGCTCAAATCGTCACTGTTTCCTAGATGAAGTTGCTTATATTCGCTGGCTACGAGACAACATCCAGTGAGTGGTTAACTGTTTGCTTCTCTCTTGAACTTCGTGACTGATTGTCCATTTCTAGTCGCTCTCACTGTACGTCCAGCTTCCGCGAAGCTTCATTTGCTTTGAATTCTCAGACCTGGTTTACGCAGTGGGCCTTGATCGAGTTGTCAAAGAACCAAAGTACTCAAACAAAGCTCCGAGAAGAACTATCCCAGTTCACAAACTCCGACCCGACATACGACCAGCTAACCAACTCGCTTCCCTACCTTGACGCCGTCGCACTCGAAGTGCTGCGCCTTCATGGGCCCGTGTTCGAGACGACGCGAATGGTAAGTTCCCCATCCTTGGCATATTTCCCTGTTCTCGTTCGCATGATCTAACGTCGCGAAATACAGGCTGGAGAAGACGATATCATCCCCCTCTCCCAGCCTGTTACCGACGCCTCGGGCAAACTCGTCGACCACGTCACCGTCACCAAGGGCACGCTCGTCACAGTGCCCATCACATACGCGAACCGGTCCGTCAAGTTCTGGGGACCGAGGTCGCGCGAGTTTGTCCCTGAGCGGTGGCTCGACGGGTACGACAGCCATGGGAACTTGGCCAAGGGCGCGTCGAAAGATCTGTCAGGACACAGGCACCTGCTGACGTTCGCGGATGGGTCGAGGATGTGCTTGGGCAAGGCGTTTGCTGTTGCTGAGTTCAAGGTGAGTCCCCTTCAGAGTGTTCAGAGGTCCAAACCTAACGTCTTTTGCGCAGGCGGTCCTGTCTGTCCTGGTCAGAAACTTTGCATTTGAACTCAGGGATGGGCCGGACACCAAGTTCGAGAGCCAGAGGACTTTCTTACCCCGGCCTCGCGTTGCTGGCGAGAAGGGAGTGAATGTCCCTCTACGCGTGAGACGTCTTGACTAGAATCAGACATTAGGTCTTTCAGTGTCCTTATGGATTATCGCCCTTCATTACTCAAGTTGCTAGTTTCTCGCTTTCGTTATTTCCTATTGTACATCGGACATCAATTTAACTCATACCTTGATTACTTAAAACCCAGTAACTGCTTAATTCGGAGATGCATTCGTAAAAGGATTGTTGAATCGAACGGTGATGGTTGCTCAACGCGGGCTCAAGGCCGATGATTGCTGCCGAACTTGCCACGTACGTCAAATGACCCTTCCGAGACAGTTGCCGTAGTAAGGTTGACTTTCGTCGAGGTTCAATACCGTCGTTTCATTTACATCGTATGTAAGTAACATTACCGTTGTCTACGTCTTACTGTGAGATTATACCGACATCATATTATGCGACTTTCTCGGTCAGCCAGACATGCCTTGAAGTTACTCGGCCGAGTCGACACTTAACATACGGTGACGTTGTTCGGGACATCCCGGGAAATTTTACATAGGCGCCCACACCTCAAGCACGTGCTCAAGCTCGCTTCGCACCTCGTCAACTATGCTGTCAAGCGGCATAGCACATGTCTTTTCTTCCTACGTTATACATCTTCGTCAAAGTCTTCGGCATCAAACTCTCGGGCGAGTGACGGAATGACTCAACCTTATGGAGCCACCAATGACGCGCTCCGAAGTCCCACCACTGGGCAGTTCGCAATGGAAACACAACGAAAAGAGCGGTATCGCTCGTTTGATGAACATAGTAAGACGTTTTTGGTCGATCGTTCGAGCCCGTAAGTGCCCATGAAGCCTCTTTATCATTCTATCCTATCTGATTGGTGACTCGCTCAGCTTTCTATCGAGTCTCCCCAAGAGGCTGAACAAGGATGTCTCTCGGGTACTATCAGGCATCAAGATTTATCCCGTACGCACCGCCAATGCTGCGATCACAGTGTTCTACTAACCAAATCACCCAGACGCTCACTCTTGCCGTTGTCGTGCACGCAACGATATGCCAGAAGAATCAAGAGTAAGCAACAGTGTGTCATCTCATGGTCGCGATTCTATGTAACCACTGTCAATCTCAGAACCCTAGATGCATTAAGCTTAGCGCAGACAGAATGGGCTGAAAAGGACGCGTTGTCTCTCGTCCTGGAGCATCAGCTCATGCGCTCGCGACTACTCTCCCTTCTCCCAAACGAGCGTCCTAACTCCGACTCGGTAGCGATATCATGTCATGGCACCTGCCCGGATGTCTTTTCCCCTACAAATGACCTCGAAGCTCTCGCTCTCTACGTTGGAAAGCTGCTGACAAATGCGGACACGATTTGGCAGGAAAGAATACTGTCTCTGCAAGGAGACGACGCTCAAAGCGTGATAGACACTCTATACTCCGTACGTCAATGGAATTCGCTCTGTAACTTGGAGTAGTGATCACTGATTTTTGATGACGCCATCAGTTTGAAGGGCTAAGGACGCAGCAGGACCTCCGGGAACTGCTGAGAGAAACTCTCCTCGAGCTCGCCAAGTCTTCTGGGATTTATCCGAGACAGCTTTTAGTTCAAGGCATCGAGGTATCAGAATACAACGAAATCATTTCCGCATATTCAGGATTGGAAGTATACAAGACCAAGTATCTAGATCGTATGGTCACTGTCAAGAAGCTGTGTTCCAGCAAAACTAATTCACGCGAGGCATTCAAGGTACCCCTTTTGACTTCTTATTTGTGCCTTCGATAATAGCTAACATATAAAATATAGGGATGCGTAAAGGACCTCGTGGTTTGGTCTCGCTTAAGCCATCCAAACGTCATAACCTTGCTGGGCGTTTTCATCCAAGCTGATTTTGGTTATGAGAAATCGGACTTTATTGGTTTGGTTGAGCCATTCATAGGGGACTTCAGCTTGAATAGTCTGATCCGAAGTCGCAATGCATACGATAAAGACTCCTTGGTAGGCCGGTCAATCGTTTGCTTTCGCATTACTGATCCTCAGCTTTACACGAATAGTCACTCGACATAACTCGGGGCTTAGCATTTCTACATAGTCGGAAACCACCTGTCCTCCATGGATTCCTGAATGGCGTAAGTCTTTTAAACCGCGCATGGATGACGTTTTCATTCAAGGGGAGCGATTTTCAGGGAAACATACACATCTCTAGTAGCGGTCAAGCGCTTATAGGAGATAATGTCTTTCAGTCTCTCATGCTCGAAGAGGGTCCCCACATGCGGTACTGGGCGCCAGAGATAATGATAGCTGACAGTGACGTGACAGCAGCTGTTGACATATATGCCCTGGGTGGTATCCTATATCAGGCGAGTAAGTTGCTCATTTCGACTGCTACTATTAACCCCGTCCATAGGTGCATAGTGGTGATGCCCCTTACTCCCGTACAGAATTGTTTTCCAGAGTCTTGTGTATGATCATAGACAACGATGCCATTGGAAGTATGGGTGATACCGATCAATATGCTCGGAGTATTATCAAAGCGTGTCGTACATATGACGAGACAAAGAGACCAACAGCCGACCAAGTTTTGCAGCAGATTGAGGGTGCTCTTATATCAAGAGGCTTTTCCATCCTTTCGGCCACCACATCGGCAGTTCACTCCGAAGAGCACGAGCTAAGCAATCTTGCTGGAAGCGAAGACCTCGCGAGTAGATCGGATACCCCAGCATCTCACCAAAATACACCCGGAAGGCGCCAAAAGCGTCTTTTGCGGCTTCAGCTCCCAGACTCCGGTATCTTAAAGAGTGCTATAGCCACAATGGTACGTCAAATTTTGAAGCCGACTTCTGATTCTGACCTTGTTTTCGAAGCGCAATCAGGCTGTGTCCTTGGGCAAGCCAAGAAGGAAGTCTACACAGGCTCGCGACTTCACCTCAGACGCAACGCCATCTATCTCTACATCTTCGCATCATTCAGTTGATAATCGCCCGAGGGATGTGGGAGGGCCTGACGGTCATCGAGGAAATGGTGATCGACAGGGCGGCCGGGATTTACGGAACGACGGGAATACATCCGACGACGAGTCGTTGACCTGCTGGAAAGATATGTTCTATTGCATGTGTTGCCATTGCTGCTGTTAAGTTCCATATTTCCCTTATATCTGATTAATCTGTCTGTAAGGATAAAACACGTATTTATGGCTGTAGTTATCACAGTGTCGGCAGGAAGGCGTTTAGAAGAATTATAGCGCTCCGGCAGCTTAAGCAGCGGTGAACGTAGCGGGTGGACGCGGTATAGCGAGCTGACGATTTCACTAGAAATGTCAGACGTTGAAATATTCATCTTATGATGTTATACATCTGAATATGCATACAGATACAGTGACTAGTCCATACTGATGAGTCAACCCCTTCATTCTCTTGATCGTCTTCCGACATGGCGACTCTTCACATATGACATAATGGATGTCTCGGTATCTCGTCAGTGTTACACACAAAGTAAAAACAGACGAAGGCTCATCATACCAGGGCTGAACGAAGGAAGTATTCGCACAGGAAAATGAATGTCGCGCTAATCAAACGGAAGCTGATGAGGACCGAGATGGGCGCTAAGCGCCGGCGGTGCACGTCATTCAGTGTTACGGCCCTTGATGTCGTGGAGTCAGTTGGACTGCTGTGTTGGGCATGTTTAGGGGGCCTTCTCACTGGTGACCATGTCGATCGGGGAGCCGATGTACTCGCCATTGTCTAGCCAGGCTGGACGAGTGTAGTACGCATGCCGTGGGAAGCCGTTTCAGGTTGCGTGGCGGAGTGGCAGGTTTGTGGCGGGCGCTTATCTATTCTTGAACGTGGCTGTGTTGATTGACCAGTAAGGGTCGCGTCTTCCCATAAATTGGCCCCTCTCTTCCCTTCCCCCAACTCGAACCACAGCAAACAAATTCCGTCTCATTTCTTCACTCACAGACTCTACTATCACCATCGCCAGATACCCTATCAGAGGCTCACATATGGTTCACGTCGTTATCATCGGCGCTACGGGCTTCGCGGGCAAACATGTCCTACTTGATGCTCTGCGCGAAAACCGCATCACCAAGGTCACTGTCGTCGGACGGCATGCGCCCTCGATTGAGGCCCCCGACATGGCCCTTATCCGCAAAGCCATCGTCGACAAGCTCACCATCATTCAGCGCGACGACCTGGGCGCATGCTGGGACTATGACTCGACCGAGCCACAACATCTGGAGCTGCGCGAGCGCCTAGCGGACGCCGTTGCGTGCATATGGTGTATCGGCGGGAAGGCGAACAGTTTCGCAACGGAGAAGGAGTTCGAGCGAGTGTGTCATGGGTTTACGATGAGGGCGGCGAGGTTCTTTTCGAGGGTGGCGAGCGTGGGGAATCCGGGGAAGGCACACAAGTCGGGGAGGGCGTCACAGCCATTCAGGTTCGTGTATCTGTCAGGAAAGTTTGCGGATCGGTCGGGGAAAGCGCACCAGGGATGGATAACAGTCGAGGCGCAGACGAGGAATATGAAGGTACTGACCCATTTCGTTCACCTTAAGCTGATTACCCGGTATGCTGACAGGAAGGTTGACGTCGACAGGGACGCACAGAGCGTGAACTGCTCGAACTTGCTTCGCACACTTTGTCTACACCACTCGCTTCTCCAGATCCAGAATCACAACCACCATCTGCGCCTGCTCCCAAAGAGGAGGAGAAACCATCAGTCGAACCATTCGAGGCCGTCGAACCTCCCCCAATCTCGGACGAACCGCCCGCATACTCCGAGGAACCGCCCTCGCCGTCTTCCCAATCTAAATCACCACCTCCGCAGTCTACATCCACCTCTTCGACATCCGTACCTACCACCTCCACCACCTCTTTAACGTCAACGTCATCAACAACCCCGCAAAACCCGATCCCCTCCCATCCCCTTACCGTGCTCGTCTTCCGCCCTGGCGGTATCATCGCGGGCAAGACCGTGCGCTCCCTCGGTGGGCTCACAGGACTATTTGCCGAGCAGGCGCTGCAGCGCGCGCCGAGCGTCGTCATCCACGTCGAGCGCGTCGCGCGTGTTCTCGTCGATGCCGCCATTGGCGTGCGTGTCGAGTGGCAGCGGGATGCGCATGGGAAGAAGAAGGACACGTGGGAAAGCGAGGAGATGGTTAGTTGGAGTGTTGGCCTCGGGGTGTAGGATGCTATAAGAGTGGATTGAGTGTGTGGTGAATCGTTGGACCGCTTTTGTTGTGTTTTGTATGGTGTGCTTTTATCTTGGTTTACTTTGTAGTTTCCTGTGTAGAGTTATACTAATGTACCGGGTTTGTTATTTACGCGTCTATGAAATCCTTGTTCTCCTTCAACTGTGATATCACACTACGTCAAGGCAATGTTGTGGAAACATGTACTCGTGTACATTCGATAATTATCATAGCCTAGTAATTTGCCGACACCGAAACATCTGTATGGCGTTGTACCCGAAACGCCCTTCTCGAAAATATGACTCCGACGACCAGTGGTTGAGGATGCGCACGACAAGCGCGTTTGTATCGTACATGAAGGCGTCAATCATATGAGGCCATACATTTGAACGCAAACTCATAAAAACGCGAACAGTCTGACAGCTACGACACAAGTGGCATGCGTGGTTCAGTGAGCATGTTTCTTCCCGTACAAAACACTAACGTACCAGAATGTGCTGGGCTTCGATCAATCATTTCATGCTGTACGAGGCTCAGTGGCTTGGTTAACATTTCCTGTCGTCGTTGGCTGGGCTGTAGTATTCGTCTGCCGATCAGCGTCCACAACGTCTTCGATCGCTTTGCAGAAGAATAGAACTTGTATGATCTGCCACCATGTCATGTCGGGGAGGTTACCCGCCAAGTATCTCTGTGAACAGCAATGAACGATAAGGTCAATGTGTAGTGTTTACTATGCTTTACCGGGTCGCTGCGCGCTGGATAGACTTCTACAACGCGTCGAGGTTCGTCGAGGTTTTGCATAGGATATGATTCGCGTTGTTCTTCACCGCCCTGCTCGATGGCAGTGGTTTCCTCGCCAGACCGCGTCAAATGTACCTATAAACAATGGCACAAAATCAAATAAAGCGTCAAATGGATGGCATGAACATTCGTTGATGGATATAATCTACGAACCCTCATTCGACTGAATATACTAGTCGCCCCGTTGAAGCGGTAACTGATGGTAGTACCTTGGACGTTGTCTGATAACGGTGCGCTCTTTCGAACGTAAGAGATGTCGGTCAAATTTGAGTAATGTTGGCTCCCTAACAGCAGGAAAATTGACACGTACTTCCCCGTCGACTTCAGTGCGCCGTCTCTGCGTGCGCACCCAACGCTGGGTGAGAGCCCGGATGCGTTTGATCATGCTGTCCATCCTCTCAGAGTCCTCCATTTCAGACTGCTTTTTTACATGTCAGTATTAAGTGTGTGTATCCGCGTGCAACCCACGATATTCTCGTTAGAGCCGGTAGCCGGTGTGCCCCCTCGATTTGTAGGAATCGCTGATCGCTACTTAATAGCGGCGGTGTTCGACAGGTTACTAGTCGAAAAACAATAGTGATAGACGAATCGTACCTCTAAAAGGCTGTCCTCATCAAATTCCAAGCTCTACTTGGGTGTCAGCACGTACGATGAAAAAGGAACCTAGTCATTACCATCGGCGCCTTTCCATGTTGTCGCTGGCTTTTCCCGCTCCGTTCGCCGGGTTTCTGGATATGACATGAGCTTCGCATAGTGAAGGAAACTAGGATACTTACCTCGGGCTCCGTCGAATTGCTGCCTGTGGCGATACCAATTCCGCCGAGTCGCTATGTATGACGCAAGGGTCTTTAACGCGTGTTATATAAGGGAGGGTGAGCACGAACCTTGGGACGCAGGAGACGCCCAGATTTCGTATCCCACAGGCGAAGGTCACAGGTTACCCCATCGTTTTCGGTGCAGCTCACGATTTGCGTTCCATCTGGTGAGAAATCCGCCGAGCGTACTGTACCGTCATGCTGCAGAGTCTGGGAAAGCTTTCTAGTGCCAGCATCCCATACGCAAACCCGTTGATCCTCTGATGCACTCAGAAACTTCAATCCATCGCACGAGAAGTGTACGCTGTTGACCACATCTTTATGACGCCAAACAAAGACCTGCTCTACGAGACCTTGCAAGATGTTCAATAGGCATACTGCTCCGTCTCTTGACCCGGTTAGCACTTGCGAACCGTCAGGCGCGAAGCAAACAAACTGCACTCCGGCGTCGTGTTTGAGAGATTGGCCTAGAGCTTCATATGATCCAAGGTCCCAGATGCGGGCAGTCGTGTCGTCAAATCCACTAGCTAGCAGAAGACCGTTAGACGAGATGCTGAGCATCTGGACAGCATCTTCGTGGGCGTCAATAACATGCAAGATCACGCTGGACTCCAAATCCCATACACGGATATTTCCGTCTTCTCCTCCACCGGTTAGGCGTGCACCATCTGGAGTAAACTTGACCGCCTATACCGAAACTCCGCGCTCAGAGAGGATTCTTGGTAATTAATTGTCGCGCACGAGGTCCCAGACGCAGATACCACTGTATCCCTGGGCAGTCGCCAGAAGGTCCTCTTTCTTCGAGATATCTAAACCACGAATCGCAACCTTCAACCTCCACACGCGAGGATGTGCGGCTTCTTGCCCTGTGAATACGTCCCAGATCCTGATTGCGTTATTGCCGTCGGCACTTGCAAAGCGTTTTCCTTCTTAAAGCCACGCTACCGCCTGAAAACTATAAACCCCGGAGGGAAGGTTAAACCTGTCTTGGTCAGATGTAGCTCAGCCAGCAAATATACGAGAAACATACTCAAAAATGTCCATGATATCCTTGATAATATCTGTCTTTGGCTAAAGAAGCTATTTGTGAATGTCATCATGACCGTGGCAAGGGCGTAATGCGTACTTGAGGGAGCACCTGCACTCTATCACGGAGACTCCAGACTCGGATGCCATCATATCCGCAAGAAGCAAACTGTTCACCATCAGGAGAGCAGCATATCGCATCTATGGCATCCTGGTGCCCATAAAGCAGTCCTGAGATACATTCGCTTGATGTGACATCCCATACCAGAATGACCTCGTCCGTCGAACAGCTGACTAGCTGCAGACCGTCAAGCGAGAATGAGATATCTGTAACCATGCTTTTGTGACCACGCAAAGGATTATGGACCAGCTCGCCGGACTGAGCATTCCAAAGTCGGATGGTGAGATTGTCCGACGCACTGGCGATGATTGAGAGTCCGTCGGGAGAGTACTAGATGCTGTTGACCGGGCCTAGATGACCAGACAGTTTGCGTATGCACTCAAATTCATCCACAGCAAATATATGGATAATAGCGTCGTAGGAAGCAAGCGGTGGCGAGATGCTCGCCGCTTGGGGAGAAAGAGACAGAACGAACGCAGAAAGGGTGAACGATTGTTGCCACGCATTCGCCGTCTTGTGCAATCCACAGCTTTAGAAGCTTGTCCCAACCTCCGCTTGCGATGAGTGCGCCGTCTGGCGAGTACTGCACATCAGAAACCAAGGTTGTGTGACCATTGAGTGGGGCTATGACCGTCTGATGGGTAGTTGTGTCCCATACGCGAACAGTGTCGTCGCCGGAGCCGCTAACTAGATGATGTCCGTCAGGAGAGTAAGCAATGGCGCCAACAGGCCCAGTATGCCCCTCCAGAGCATCCCCGACTTGACGACCCGTTGCCGCATCCCATATCCGTATTGTCTTGTCGTGTGACCCGGTAGCGAGGAATTTTCCGTCAGGTGAATATGCAAGTGTGTTGACAAAGTTGGTATGGCCCTTGAATGGCTCAAAGTCTGTCTCCTCCATGATAGGCTAGGATGAGGATGGCGACTCGTGATGTGGGACGATGTCGGCGACTGAGCTGTTGGATAGCGAGAAATGCCCGCGCACAGGAGTTCGAACGCACAGGAGGGCTGCTTAACACGAGGCAGACAATATTAGCACTTGTTCGCACGCTGTTTCTGTTATGGGCGCTTGTGTATTCACTTCCTCTGCATATATGCGCGCTTATCACTACACATCATTCTGCAAGGGCCTCGTGCTTTACATGCGAGCGCATTCCATTGGTCTCAGGCAAACCTTTATAAATACGGAACATAGTCGCTCCTTAAAATATAGATCCCTGATATGTAAAACCTACAACCGCGGCTTGATCATATGCTTGATGCTCTCCGGATCGAGTAGCGCCTGCGGGTACGGCAGCTGGAACGAGCGGAGGTGCTCGAACGCACCATCAATGGCAATGACTTGGCCACTAATGTTCTCCGCAGCAGGGCTGAAGAAGAAGACGGCTGCGTTGGCGACGTCCTTGAGGTTGCCGATCCGTCCGAGAGGATACCTGGATAGGATATCGAGTCAGCCAACCCAGAAGACTTTCCATCAGACGATGGACGCGCACCGGCTGTTCGCCTGCACCTCCTTCTTCTCCCCTCCCTCTTTGGGATAGGCCGACAGCCTACTCATGCCCTCCGTCTCTCCGATCGGCCCGGGCGCGATGACGTTCGAGCGCACGCCCCGAGGGCCCTCCTCAACGGCGAGCACGGCCGAGAGAGCGTCGACGCCTGCCTTTGCGGCGGAGACGTGGACCTGGTAGGGCGTGCCCTTCCAGTGCAGCGTTGCGCTCACGTGGATATAAGAGCCGTGCGAGGCGCGGATGTGTGGGAGGGTCGCTTTCACGGTGTTGAATGTGCCGAGCTATTTATATGTGATTAGTATACTGGCCAATGACGAATTTGCCAAAGAGATGATCAAAGGAGGCAAGGGAACTCGGGAAGAAGGGAAGCACCGAGAAGGAAGATGGGAAGGCAGGGAAACAGGTGGGAAGAAGATGTAACGAAAGATGAGAAGGATGGCAGAAAAGATGGCAGAAAAGATGGCGAGGAAGATGGAGGGAACACGAAAGAAGAAAGAAAAGAAAGGTAAGAACCCTCGAGAAGTTCAGGAAGCATACGAAGGATATGACAGAAGAGACAACGTACAGTGTCGATTTCCATGACTGTCTTGAACGCGTTCTCCGACATGCCATCAATGGACGCGAGGAAGTTGCCTGCTGCACCGCAGATGACGAAGTCGATCCGGCCGAACTTCTCAATCGTCTTCGCAACAGCGTCCTTGAGCTGCGAAGGCTGGCGCACGTCCGCCTGTGCGGCAATGCACTGCGACCCGGTCGCCTTAGAGAGCTGGGTGGCGGATTCGGTGAGACGTTCAAGTCTGGCCCATTGAAGGCGAGATGATGAGCATGAAATACTAGGGTAAAACTATTTGGAGGACTCACTTGCGCCCAACGATCACGGCGTTCGCGCCATGTCGCATCTACGCCCAGACCAGAGCGCGTCAGTGCCTGCTATCCAGACCACATCTCGAAGAAAGGAAAGAGAACGCACAATAGCCTCTGTCATTGCCTTACATATCCCAGAGCCACCACCCGTGCAGAAGAGGACCTTGCTCTTGAAGAGGTCTTGCCGAAAGATGGCGGTCGAGTCCGTCACGGGCGCTATGTATTGTGTTGGAGCCATTGCGTTGGATGTGTTTTGTGTATATCGGTTCTTAAGACAGTTGCGAGTAAAGCTGACAAACTGAGAGGCGTGTAGGTGGTATCGAAGGCGTTGGACGTCGGTGGGTAGGTGTAAGGATGAGAACGAGACCTGGACGACCTGTACAGACACTTGGATGGGGAATTGATGGGGCGCGTATAATAAAGTGCCTGGACCGGCTATTCGGATGTTGCAAGTGAGCCGCCGAACCGGATGACACACCGACGATCTCCGTCCGTGGCCGAGCCCGAGCCCGAGGGCCGCCACGAGCCGAGGCGCTGACAGAATAGCCCCTGTCTTCTCATCTTGCCTCTATTCCAGCCATTCCGCACCTCCTTCAGCTCGTCGCAGTTTGCAGGGTGCATGCTGACGATCCAAACGATCACTTGAACCTGCCACTTATGAAGGTGAGATGAGCGCAAGTATGGGCGTGACACCTTTCCCTTTCCTTTCTCTTAGCACGTATGCGATGACGTCTTCCCACCCTTTCTCCTAGCGCCGTCAGTGTCGGACCACCCGTCTTATAGATTACTCTCTCTTACTTGACCATCGACCATCAGCTGGTTGACCATTCTCACATTTTCATCCCCTTCTACCACAACCATCACTGTCATCGACCATGTCTGAACCCACCTACACCCTCATCGGTACCCCGTTCAGCACCTTCACACGCACCATCGCCCTTGCTCTCCACTACAAGGACATCCCCTTCAGTCGGGAGGGCGTCCTTCCTCACTCTGTCGTCGCAGAGAAGCATCATCCGCTAGGATACATCCCTGCCTTGGTCGTCCGTGGAGTGGAGGGCGGAGAACTAACGCTCATCGAGACGCAGGCGATCGCACGCTACCTTGATAGGATCAAGCCCGAGCCAAGCCTAGGCATTAACGCGGGAGATGGAGGGGCAAGAGTTGAGGAGAGCTTATGGGAGTTTGTGAACCTCGTTGCGGCCCACGGTGAGTCCTAAGATGCTACTGGTCGCAATCAACGCCCGCATCGTACTGACTTGCATTCACCCACTCGCTCTTACTCAGCCTACAAAATCGTTGAAATTGACGTCGTGAAGCCTTACCTTGCCTCCTTCGCCGACTCCATGCCCTCCACGATCTCCAAGGAAGAAAAACAAGCTAGAATTGCCTCAGCCCCTATCCCCACCGCCCCCTCCACCACCACCTCAGGCCGCTTCGCCACCGCCTTCTCGACCGTCTCATCCGCACTCACCGGCGCAGCCGCACCCGCGGGCGACGTGGACAGCGCTGTGAAGCCCCTCGCGCACTACCTTATGGTGCTCTCTTCGCGCATGGCGCCCATCAGCCCGGCTGGGTCCGAGTCCAGCAGGAGCGGGCCGTTTGTGTTCGGGACCAAGGTGACGTGGGCGGATTATTACTTGTATCCGTTGCTCGCGGATGTGGCGAGTACGGCGGTGTGGCCACGCGTCAAGACGGCGAGGCTGGAAACGTTTTTGGCGGCGATGAGATTACGCCATGAGGTGAAGGAGACGACGGAGGGTACTGTTGAGGATGGACGAACGGGACCTTGATTGAAGATACTGAGGGCAGTATGTGACATTGTAGCATAATTGTAGGATACGTTGACTGAGGGACAATAACCGTTTTGTTTGACTAAACTTTGAATGCGCGCACTTGTGAGTGCCAACAAGGCAGCCTCGCTCCGCTGCGGCACTCAAGGCTTTTGTGCTGGGAAGGAAAACTCGCGCGAGTAGCAGACAAATTGCCCGCTCGTAGATCATAAAGGCAGCCTCGCTCCGCTACGGCACCTAAGGATCTCGTCGTATCATTTTGCTAGTGATAATCGCCATTCCATTGTACTGGAAAAGAAACCTCCAACACGAATAGGCACACTAACCGTGGATATCTATCGTGCAGCCCAGAGCCCTCCATCGTATACAAATACCGAGCACTAACGCGAGAGATATGCCACAGCCACAACGCCAAACATGTGCAATGCCAAGCCGGGCATAATTACCTTGCTTGACAAGGTTTCTGTCACCCCCTTTATTGCGTGGGAACGTCGCGCCTGCCACATAAGTACAAACAGCGTTCGCTACTCTGGTTGGTAAGTAAATTATAGCCATACGGTATTAGTGAAGTAAGTAAGCAAAGTCCTACTATGGCGCGTTCCAGAAGCGTAGGGAATACATCCTTCCTGTGACTTACGCGCACGATTCACGATGTTGTCCACGTCCCAACTCTTTCCACCACCACATCTTCCGCCATCAACTCGGGCGAATGTGACGCTCGGAACACGGCATCATCAAAGTCGCGCAACAGTCAAATCGTTGATCCGCCGGAGCTTCGAGAAAGAATGGGGGGCATTCTTGTGCACGCCCACTTTCATCCGCTCAACAATCCCTTGCAGGCGTGTGTTGCTGGTAAGGCTATCGCAAACCGAGCAAGTTAGGCCATCGTCGGTGAGGCCAACGCATGTATCCGCATGGAGGCGGATCGTGTTCTTCGAGAACTGGACTGACCATGGCAGGTCGTATTCATCATGGAGCCCAAGAGGATACCCCGAGGCGGCGGTCTTGGTTTCAGGGATCAAGAGGAGGTACCCGCTACATGGAAGCCGCGGCTTGAGAGGTGGAGGGAGACGGGCGACTGGGTGTTGAGGAGCCACTACGCGAGAAGGTACGTCGTCGCCGTCTTGGGTGAGATCTACGATTGGGCCCGCTAACTCGCTTCTACCATTATCGCTCCCGGTGGCCTGTGTGAGGTCAACGACATCTACAGAGTGCGTCGTCCGGCCATCACGATCCAAACTATCGAATCGAGAGTAAGTGATTGCCTCGCTCGAATAGCTGTTAGACTTACATGAATGTGATTGCCGCCATCAACCGCTCCAGCTTGCCTTCAAGCAAGACCCCTACCACGCCTCGCTCCTCTATCGCGTACTTCATCACCTCCAGGAAGCCATCGAGGCCGGATGGCCCTATCTTGACCAAGGTATGTAAGTCCTCCTCCGTCTTATTGCTGCCCATCGCCGCGTTGAGCTTCGAATCCAGTTTCTCCCATACCTCCTCGTTGGTAAGGTCATGAAGAGTTGGGCGGCATGCCACAACATTGCTGAGCCTACATGCATCCATTGCAACTGCAGTAGTGCCCGGCAGCTCGTCTCGAAGGCCACGAAGCTTTTGCAGGAGCTCGAGACCCCTCGGGCATGGAGGAGGCTTCGACACGGGCTGACTAGGGCCAGGAGGAGCAGACGGCCCAGGGATGGATATTGGCAGGGTAGTGGCGAGACCTGGGGCTGTGGATGTCGATGCCAGTACGCTCGGAGGGACCACAGAGCCATTCGATGTTGGTGTGGACGTGCTCAGGCCAGCAGCTGTGGGCGTTGAAGGTGTAGCCGTCTTTTTCTTCCTCGTGAATACTGACGGAGTTGCCAGCTTCTTCACGCCCATAGCAAACAGGGACCCTTTCTTTGGCTTGCCTGCACTCTCCCTCGCCTCCCTCGCCTCCTCCTGCCTCCTCATCTCGTCCCGACACCTCTTTGATGTCTTGTGCTGCCCAAGACTATGCGTGCCGCCAAAACCAACGGTTATGACCTGATGGCATTGCTCACATACTAATGTTGAATCAACCTTCCACTGCGCTCCTGTGAGTCTCTCCTCGTCTACTCATCATGATCCTGCATGCTCACCTTGCGTATGTCTTCATTTCCAGTCATGTTCGTTGATTTCTCCTTGTTGCGACCCCTCACAACGTCCTTGCCAGGTCACCAGTGACCGATATAGTAGTAGCCCCTATGAAAATCATCTCCATTTGGTATATCGCACGTGGTAGCTACTATTTTGGGTCATGAATTTAGTAGGTCGAGAAATAATTTAAGGTGCCATGGCTAGACCCTCCCCCCCCTCACCCCCGGTCTTCCCACGCAACTCCGACTACCCCTTGCGTATAGGTTGAACAAATCGAGACCACCCGTTGGAGGCGTTGCATTATCCACGAGTACATATGGGATTGTTTGGCCTTGCGAGCGATAATCGGTGAAGGCATATGCAGCAGTCATAGGGAAACGCCGTCTTCGTATGTTTCTTTTGATGTCTTTTCCTTCAGTGCCCGTCACTTTAATCTGAAAACTCCTGTTAGCTGTTTCGACAGGTGTCACAGAATCTTTAAGGCCGTCAAGGCGTGATGCTTGGGTCCTGCTCAGCTTGACAATAACATATACAGGTAAGTGTTTCAGCTCAACCTACTATTGGTGCAATAGTTAACTCTCTAACCTCCCTTGTCTGATAGCCGCGCAATGAACAAGTCCCTGAAGGTGCTCATTAGGCAGAGGATAATTCAGGTATCTTGACCAAGGCAGTAAGTGGATTTTTTATCCCACTAGTGTGGTCAATCTCACTGATAAGCACCGCCCATTCAGATGAGTTTGCTATCGATAACTGGCCGACTCACAGTGATAGTGCCAAGGACGCCTTGGAAGCTATGGTCAAAACTCATCATGTCATCCCGGTTCCGGCCTATGACCTCCAGGGAAACCACATCAAGCCCAGGCACTCGGCAGTCAAAGACCCGTCGTCTCCTACGCCGGGGCATTACCTTGTCCCCCCGATCTGGCGACTGGCGCGGCGGCTACAAACGCAGCTGCAGGACGTGGGGGTGGTGTTCACCTGGTTAGCGGGGCATCGGGGCATCGAGGGGAATGAAAGAGCGGATGAGGAGGCAAAGAATGCCGCAACGGAGGGTAGGCAGGCGAATGGGGGAAGGGTCCTCCCTAAGCATCTTAGGGGGGTGCTGCCGGCGAGTATATCTGCGCTCAAGCAGAAGATGGTTGCCGACCTGAAGGCGACTTGGTCGCAGCGCTGGGCTTTGGCGGAACGGGCGCATCGCCTGCGTGCGCTAGGATACAACGCCGTTGCGACCGACCGCCACATATCACAGATATCGGCGCTTCCCCGCCGGCAGGGCACTCTGCTCACACACCTGCGCACTCGTCATATCGCCTTGGATGCCTTCCTTCACCGCATCCGAGTTATCGATGACCCCTCCTGCAAGCACTGCACCCGCGGGGTCGACGAGACGATTAGGCACTACCTCTTCGAATGCCCAGCCTGGGAGGAGGCTCGGCGGCGACTAGCCAGATCGGCGGGGCGGAAGGCCGAATCCCTGTCCTACCTGTTGAACAGCTCGAAAGGTGTCAAGCTATTGATGTCGTTCATCAACTCGACCAAACGGTTCCAGCAGATATATGGAGACATTGACAGGAAGAAGTATTCAGCCTAAACGGCGGTTGGTCTCGCGATCTCTGCCGTCCCGTTGCACCATGGCGTGCTAGTGAAGTGAGTCGGGGTCTCTTTTCTGGAGTGCTTCCTTGGTCGGACTGGCTGGGTGTCTGCTCCGGGTTTCGGGCTTGTTTCATTGGTTTACGGGCTATGGTGCCCACGGCTTCGGCCGGCGGGCACATGTCAGTTCAGCTTCCTTGGGGAATTCGTAGCATCGCTATTGCTGTATTCCACGTAGCATTGTCCGTCATAGGGCTTCTGCCCTCTAGGACATTAATATGAATAAAAAAAAAAAAAAAAAAAAAAAAAAAACCCCAGGC